CTCTGCGTGATCCTTTCCATGGCTGCAAGTGTCAAAATCAAAATCCTGCAAGTCAAAGTACCATTCGCGGAAAGAGGCTGGCCCACGCTGTTTGACGAGAGCAGCCAGCAGCGGCCACAACCAGCTCCGCACCGGGTTTTCAATCGTGACAAAAGCGCCACGGCTGAATGCAAGAAAGAGAACCTCAACAGCCTGCACATACACCTGGTTTGCAGCATTGACTTGCTCCTGCTCAGCTGGCCGTAGACTGGGCTTACCGAAGAGGTTGTCTGCGTCACGCAAAGGCCGAGGCGCATTCGGCAAAGGCCTCTCCCGGGCCCTTGAACAAGTGCCACAGGGGAGACCGAAATGGTACCATGCAACATTAGCACGACTGGCGAAGGAAGCCAGCAGCACGGAACTAGAAGATTGGCGCATGTCCAAGATGAACAAAGGAATATGTGCATGAAAGCGACAGGAAGGCTGATCGATGGGCAGTGCATTCCACCCAGCGCTCAAAGCAGTTGCAGACAAGACAGCCGAGCCGGCACACACCTCAACAAGCCACGGAACCTGCACCTGATCAGCAAGAGGCATCGCGGCGGCACTGGGGCCATCCGAAGAAGGCCGACCGAAGAGCTCTCTCGGCTCCTGAATGCGTTGGCTCTCAAGGGCCTGTACGGTTGGCAAAGGAAAGCCCAAGGAGCGCAGGATGCGGCGATCGGCTGACCCCAAATGCACAGCCCCAAGAAGACTGAAGAGAACAAGCACGACCCTCCTACCCTGAGCCTCAGAAGTGGAGTGCTGGTGCACGCGGGCACAGAAAGACACAGGTCCTTGGCACACGCGGAGGCGCACCTGGTTCTTGGCATGGACCAAGATGTCACCCCCAGCAAAGGAGCTGAGGGGAACAACCACGTTTGGCAAGAAAGCATTCTGCGTGTCAACATGCTCCTTGGCACAAACGCGGTCTAAGATGACAAAGCTTGTGTAATGATGTGATGGCACGGTCTTGGAAGCAAAACGATTGATCACCGTGTCTTCGGAAAAAGGTGACAGGCCTTCCTCAGACCAACCTTAATTCGGCAGTAGACGCCTCCGGAAAATGAAACCCCGTTGGCATCTCGATCACTAGTGTCCTTTGGCAAAAGATCAAAGAGCTCAAGAATCTTGGACTCGGAAAAATCATGATTGTTCAGGCAAGCTTGAGCAAAGTCCTCAGGGGAAGAGGCCGCGGCCTATCATCTCCAGAGTTCGGCTGAATGGCACAAATGAATGCCAGCTTGCCGAAGGTATCAATCCCAGCCTTGGTGAACTCAGAGAGAAGATCCTCAGCCAGCCCATACTTCCGCGCACGGTCCTTGAAGTGCGCCGAGGACTCCAGCCCCGCCATTCCCCCTCTCAGCTAGCCCTGTGCTTGATCAGCAAACAGTCTCGCGCGGGGAAACTCTCAGTTGCAGCTCAAACGAGAGACCAGCTTTATCATGCACAAAAGCGCCACACACGAGCAACCACAGCTCGTCCTGCTGGGGTGGCAGCGAACACAGCTGCCGACGCCAATGACTAACAAACGAAGAGCGCACAACAAACTCTAATGTTGAATAGCAGTACCAACCACACCAGAGCAATGTTCAGCCCTGATGCAGCACCGCGGCGAGGTCAGCCGGGTATCTTAATCGAGCAATCTCGGCCCGACGCTGCTGGGTGCAATGTCTCCACAAGGGTCCCTCGCCCTTCGAGGCGGACTCTTTCTTTTCAACCAGGACACATGCCTCCGATCAACTTCAGGCACCGCTATCCACAGCGGCACACTGTTGACATACATGGTTCTGTGCCTCGCCCTGGGACATGAGTCTCATGTTGGCGGTAACAGGTCGCCCACACTTGAATTTCCCGGGCAATGCCTCACAGTGCACCACCCCTGTGAGGATGTGCATGAAAACATTGCCAGCAAAAGTCGCCTCGATACGGGGCCGCACCGCATCGGGCGCGGAAGGCAAATTAAGAGCCTGCAAACCTTTAAGAAGCTCTGTGTCCGAAAGGTCGGAGCCCTCACTCTCAACATCAGGCACCTCATCATCGCCATCTACGAGGTCAGGCTGCGTCTCCGGAAGGTGGGAGAAGTCTTCAGGGGCCTTCTGCAATGCAAGCGCCATCCTCTGTGCTCGCGGCAGGTCAGGCGAGAAGGCACCGCTGACGATGGCTCTCACGATGCGCCCAACTTTCACCATGATCTCAGCCATGGCGTCTCTGCTGTACAGCAAAGCCACTCCAAGCTTGGGATGCACGTGGTGGCCCTGGGTCAACCTTTCCTCGTACGACATGGTCCCCGACTTGGCACTCCAACTCAATGCCGTGGCCTTGAGACTGTGGGACGTGTAGGCCTCTATAGGTCTCCTCCAACAGAAGCTAAGTGCAAAATTTCTCTCAGCCACAAGGACCCCTCGCCAGCAGTCATGGGCCGCTGCAGCCACGAAGACGAAGGGGCCAGTGCAGGCATAAGGCAGCTATGCCCAGAGATGCCGGCAGCCTCGCGATGCTTGATCCATGCAGCGCCCCAGCCTGGCTGCACCAGAGTGCGCCCAAGTGCCAACAGCGGCAGCATCCGATTCTGTCTATCCTTGGCGCGGGTCTTGTAGTGCGCCGTCCCTGTCTCAAGGATCACAACAGCACCCCCGAAGAGTCGACGTTAACCCCCTTGGCTCTGTGGCAGCATCGGAAAATCTCGAGGAAGCATAAATGCAAAACAACAAGAACCCTGCGATGCAAGCTCGGGCATGATCTCGAGTGTCTATCACGAACTCCTCCAGAGCACGGACATGAGACACTGGAAGGGGCGGTGCCTGCCATAGGGGCCGCTTCTTGAGCTCCATTGATGAAGCAACTCCTGAAACCCTAGCAGAGACCGGATCGTTCATATAGGCCCCTGTGTGGTACACAAAGAACCTCAGCGCCTTGACAAAGGAATCAGCAGAAGTCGGGCTGGCGCCTGCCTGAGTGTCTGAGAAACGACACAAATTCATAGACCTGAGCCTCCGAAGGTGCAAGAGGCCTGATCCTGTTGCGAACGGCCCACTCAGCAAAACGTGTGAAATCAGAGGCACGCTTCAGCAGTGTCCCAGGAGCCTTGCCCGCAAAGGCATCTTCAATCGACCTCGAAAGAACACCCTCCTCGACAAGGAGGCCGGCCGTGGCAACAAGAGACCTACCCAGCGCTGAATCCTCAGGATGGAAGAGAACAATGGGGACCTTATCTTCTTGAAGGCGGCCAGCAGCATCTGATCGTCAGTCTTAGCAAAGCGAGCAGCGAGCAGCCGCCTGGCCTCGAAAGTGTTTCGCGCAGTCCAAGCCCAAGGCTCCGAAGATACAGCAACAACCGTAGTCGGAGTCGGCCGATCAAAACGACCCAAGAGCGGATTCGGGAAAAGGTTGGCCCTCCAAGCATTAAGACGAGGCCGCACAGACCTCGAAGTCACCTCCCAAGGATACTTAAACTGTTGCGATCTCATTGCCACAAGACGAGCGTTCATCGAATGCCAATCGTCCTGAAAAAGTGGCACTACAGCAGATGGGCCCGAGGGCGGCTGATGAGCCTCGGCCAGAGATGCACCTTGCACCGTCTTCTGATGCGCCATAAGAGACCCAAAGTTAAGGTCCTCATCAGGACCCGCCACAGCCCATGACCTCTCACTGCTGTGAGGGGAATGGCACTGCACCACCCCCTCTTCGGGAGAGGGATAGAGGGCCTCTGCACTCATTTCCCCCGTAAACGAGGCCCAGACGAAAGCTTAGGCCCGGAGCCTTGTGAAGTTAGCAATGCAAAGGCGAGCTTCCCTGCAGCACAAGGAAAACAATCTCCACAACAGAACGTCCGTAAGAAGCAGCAATCGGCCCCCCACGGAGTCCGAGCCCAGGAACAGGACGAGAATCGGTAGCGGCCTGTCCAGCAACACCTCTGCCCTGAAAGGCGTCACACGATGCAGGATGCGCACAAGCCGAGGCAGATGAAAGGCTCTGGGGCGCAAGCGCAAGATGAAAACGCCCGCCTCCCTCTCTGCAGGGAGAGGGTCAGAAGTCTCTGAAGAAGACGCTGAGGAGGAAGCGCTATCCATCTGCTGAGCCCAACTGGGCCCAGCGTGCACGGAGCCCTAACGGCAAGCTCAGCAATAGCACCCCGAGCCTTCTAGAAAGAGCCTACAGGACTCAAGGCTCGATCAAAATTTTTCCGGCGGTGGCAAACCAGCCACGCCCTCGTGAGCCAATGTCCAAATCATTCGGATCAATCATTATCGCAAGAGTGTTCTCCGAAAGAGAAATGTTAAGCAAGTTGAAAACATTCCAGGAAGTATACAAGCATGAAAAATGGAATGCAAATTCGCTCCACTTAGGTTTCGCCTCGCCTGAAACAAACCTACGCCTCGCAAGCTCAGCGTGACGTTTGTCAGGCAGTTTGCATTCCGATATTTAATCATATTGAAAAAT